TTTCCTGGTTGACATCCAGGAAAAACAAAGTGACACAAATTGGAATAGACCCAAAGTGCAGGAAAATGAAACTTTAAGAGTTTTAACCTACAAAATTTTCCAAGGGAGCCTAGCCCTCACCAAGAAGAGGAGGCCCTTCAGGTCTTCAAAAATCTCCCCTGCTATGCTAAACCACCCATTTGTACCAGATTTTAACAAAACTACTGCCTAGCAAACTTTTAGCAGGTTACAAAAGCATTAGACTGGAGCGTCTATCAGTTAACTGGCATGTTGGACAGGTTTTCCTTTCACCAAGAATACTTTTAAAACATAAAAATTAATATCTAAAGAATAAAATGCTGACCTGAAAGGGAAACAGCTGCATAACAATCCACCATTTTCAACCCAAATATATTGCATCCATATGTAGGTAAATTTTTTTTGTTTTTTCAAGATCAGAAGAATTACCTTAGATGTATTTTCAATTTTTTGTTTTTTTGCAGTTGGTATTTTTAGTCTATGGAACTTTGTTTGGAATCTATGGCCTTCGCAAGCTGACGAAAAAGGACAAGAAAGAGACTCCTGAAAAGACTCCTGAAAAGACTCCTTAAAAATAACTGCAATAGGAAAATTCCTCATTTGACTTCTGTAATCTGTCATGTTTGGGTTTTCGTTTTTGTGGAGGGACGACAGGTCAAATGATCCAGTGATGTAAAGTTTGTCAAATGCATTTGATATGCTAATAAATCAGATTGACATTTTTAATAAAATAGTCAGTATTTTCTTAACTTTAAGTCTAAACTTTAGTCAGTTATGGTGATTGCAGCTATACTTTTAAGGAGTGACACCAAATTTAATGTCTTGGGCACTATAACAGATAATGGAAAATGAACTCCTGTAAAGATACATTCGCAATTTGTCTTAAAAATTGTCTTTATAAACATTAGACTTGTGGTGAAAACTCTAATTAGTTGAGAGCATACAGTCAATATACAATGATGTGTGAAGTTGAAATGACAGCTCAATATCTGCTGCAGGTTTTGGGTTATCATGCATTGTTATCAGCTTGGTGTCAGGTTTTTTTGATGGTTAACCCTTCAACTCCCAGATCTCTCTGGTAATTCTCCATATTGTCTGCTATACAATACTTCTGATGTAAGTTCAGAGAATTGGTATTGGATCATCTATCAATCCCCTTATTGATAATTTCCTTTATTCTCATCACGTATCTTCTTGAAGTTGTATTGATATTGTTAGGGGAAATCCTCTCTTGGTCACTCATGAGAGTTAAGAGGTTCACCAGTACTCATACATCCCTGGGTGGAATGAGTGGCAATGATCTTGGATGGGGTGCAAATGTAGGCTTTTCCACTCATAACTTTTAATGCTAACCCCATCAGAACAGTGTACCTCTGCATAAGTATGAAAATTGTATGGATGGCCACATCTGATGTGCCCAAAGCTCTCTTTTTTTGAAGCAAAGAAAGGGTTTTAAGAAATTGCTGATAGTCTGTTTTCATGTCTTTTGGGAATCAATAAAGGTGTCAAACTTTATAGCTCCTGACATGTCAATGAATGGAGATGACAGAAAATGTTTGATAGCATCGCAGATGTTGCACTTTTTTGAAACAGAGGCTTCTGTTTGAACATGATTATGTTTAAAAGAAGCTTGACAAGCATTGTTACATGTACATTTTACAAATTGGCTTTCTGACAAAACCCAGAGGCAAAAGATAAATATTTGTTAATCAATCGAATATCAATTGATTCTTTTGCCTATGAGAGGAGGATACAGAAATGACCAAAATTACGTTGCGGGAGGAGAGAAGATGCGATAGCCTCTCTCTTAGTCAACAGAGAAGGCCTAGGAACTAGTGAAGTCCAAGATGGCTGCCCACAAAGAAGATCTTGTTAGCACTCTTGAATCTTCACTTCAGGTGAAACCTTAAGGAATTCTGCCTTTCCTAAATTGCTCCTTTTGAAATGTTTGTTGAGCCATTAGGTTTTCTTTCAGGCTTGTGTATCACTTCTTCTTGTCACCGACAACGTCGAGAAGGAAGGAGAGAAGACCAATATCAACAAAAGCGGTGAGATTTATTTCAAATTTAAACCCCCATAATTTCGATTTGATAGTGTCGGATGCACGACAAAGTAACTAAGGTATCCAGTTTAATTAAATATTCTACTGTATCTGCAGGTAAATTGATAGGTTGTTATGCGGAAAACACTTGTTCTAGTCACATCAAATTCGCTGTGTCTGTGTGTCTGGCAGCCGGACAGGTTTTTAAAATACTCCGTGTCTGATAGACCGTGCCTGGCAGTCGGAAATAACTCATGCAAGCGTAATGAAAGTATCTGATGTTTGGTTAAAAAATGCCAAGTGATTAAAGAAAAACTACGATACAGAAAATTTATTGACTAATCATAAGAAACCAATGGAAGTACTTTAAACATTTCCAACTGCCGAGCATGGAGTAAAAAACCAGTCCGGCTGCCAAACATATAGACCCTTCCAATCAGACTTTTCCTCTGCGCTTCAATTGTTTTCAATATTTGTGAATAATTTTAGTATTTACAGCATTGTTTTGTGGTTCTGCATCCTGTTTGATTTTATCATAAACTTAAATTAGTTTTGGTTTTTTTCTTTGTTCCTGTTCTAGGCATTGAAGCTAGCATTACAAAGTTCCTTGATGCTGCAAAAGCTGTGGAAGCTGATTTTCTTAGGAAGCAAATGTACAGCCGTGTACATCATCCCAGAGAAGTCACACAAGATGTAAGAGTGGCTGAGAATTTATCTTTTTACTTGCTGCTTTTCCATGAATGAGCCTTGCCTTAAGACGTTTTTGTTAGGAGACCTAATCCACTGTGCATTGCTTGATTTAGAATTTTCTCGAGGGGGAGGGGGGTACTTGGGTCAATTTTTGTTGGTTATCTGCTGTTGGCCTCTTAGAACAATTTTTGCAATCCCAACTTAGTTACTGTCTGTTCAAGCATCTCCAACAGCAGGAAATACAGTAATAATGTTTTACTTAAAATCCCTACAGACCAGAATTTTCTTATCCCCAAAATTCTGAAAATTTGGGACCCCAGTCTAGTAACTCATCCCTGTCAGTGTTTGGCTTTGCATGATGGGACTATTTTTTGTGTTTAAAACTGTTTTTTTTTTTCATCTTAAATTTTGTTTTTGAATCTATTGAGCTGTGTGCATCTGTATATATAATGACAACTTTTGCTCAATAATAAATTGTGTGTATATGTGTGTATTTAATATGGAGAGGTTTTGTGTATGTGTGTGATGTAGTACATGTAATATACTGACTGAATAATTTATAAAGATCTAAATGCATACTGGCACCCAGTCTTGTAAACTTCAAGGTAATCAGCATTGAAAAAGGGCTTTGAAACAGGCTATTCCAGAGCTGATCAAAATACATTTTGCATTTCCTGGTTTTTAATTGAGCTTCAAAATAATTAATATTCACATTTTCTGTTTGAAATAGTACAGAGTTCCTAGTTCTTAAAACAAGAAAAGGTAGAGGGAGGCTTATATTGGAGGGGGGGGGAAGAGAGGAAGGAGAGGGGGCTTAAGATTCAGTGTATTTTTTGTCTACAGGTAGACTGGCGGATGGGCAATTTATGAATCTTTAAATATCAACTTCTTGCCACAAGTCTGTCAGACGAGGAGATTTTTCTAACCCCAAAATCAAAAAGATGTGTGACCTTATTCTAGTGACTCTATTGACAATGCAACTCCATTAGAGTTAATTAATCCAGTTGTGAAAATACAATCCTATCCAGCAGCACACCCTAATTAGCTGGTATCTCTAAATATCAACTTCTTGCCACAAGTCTCTGTCAGACAAGGAGGTTTACATTTTTTGGATCACTCTTCACCCTCTGTGGTATGACGAGGGTGACTGATATTTGTCATTTCTTTTGAAATGTCTTTATTTTTCATTGTGCTCTTCAGGAAGTAGACAAAATGAGAGCTGAGTTAGCACAAAAAGAGGAACTGCTGACAAGAACAAAAGAAAAAGTTGCTTCAGGAGCAAATGTTCTCCAAGATCTTGAAACGAAACAGACACGACTTCAGTTGGTGGACATAATACCACAAAGAACTGTATCAGTAGATCCATACTCTTTTGATACATCAAGGAAATAGTTTGTGTAAAATTGTAAATCTGGTTAGCTATGGTATTGGATATTAAATGTACAGAATTTAGTAATATTGGTTATGCTGTAATTTTCTTGGGATAAGCACAAGAGATACCGGTAGATCATTGTAAGATATGGGTTAACCCTTTAACTCTCAGATCAAATTTTTAATTCTCCTCACTGTCAACCATACAATTCTTATAATGTTAGTTCAGAGAATTAAGAATTAGATCAACTAACTATCCCCAAATTGATATATTTCTTTCTTCTCATCACTAATCTGGTTGATATTGTATTGATATTGTAAGGAGAAATTATGTCTTGGTCACACATGGGAGTTAGAGAGTTCATGTATTTTTTTTCCTGGGACAAAAAAGATGTATAAACATTCTTAAAAAGAATAAGCTGTTTGAAAGCTTCTGACAGTGTTTAAATATATGCTTAACTTCCCAGTTTGTCTAAGAGTTCCAAAATACAGAATAAATGGTGTGGTCTTTTTTACAATCTCTTTAACATCCAGGTGAAACATAAATTTGAATTTTCTTACCATGAAGAGGTATGTCAACACAGTAGAAAGTAATTTTAGGCATGGAGACATTTTTGTAGTTTTAGATTGTTGGAGGCAGTTTGCAAATTTAATTCAGGATATTAATGGTGGTAGACGGGCAGGGAAGGGTGAGTTAAGTTGGTTTTAAGATGTGATCTCAGTTTAAACATATCCTGAATTTCAGATCTCCAGTGTCGGCTTTCCTGTATTCACATCCTTTTTGGCTATTTTCAGTCATCTTCAACTGTCTTGCAATTTGCTGTAAGCACTAAAATGCCTGATGGAGAACGATGAAACTAATTCTTGCAAGATTACTTTCACTTTAGCGACAATAACTCAATGGCAATCAGAAATACAGAAGAACCCAGCTCATTCAAACCTGATTAGCTCGAACCTCTCACTTACTTGAACAAGATTCTATCTCCCTTGGATAAGACCCCATTTTTCCAGTTAGTACTATCACATAACTTAAAATCCCCGCTGACTTGAACCATCTCCTTTTTCGTAGATTCTAATGCAGTCTTTAGCATGACATCAGAAGACAATGATCAGGAATATTAGTTGTAGCTTTTGAAACTGAGAATGAGGCTTATGAATGCGAATTTGCTGTATTATAGTGTTATATAGTAGTCCACATATAGCCCAAGATTGACTCTGAGCATGTATTGCATGACGTCATGGCGTCACGCGAAAGTCACGAGGGTTAATGAGCCGACTTATTTGGAAGGTACGATCCACAGGATGTAAACAGCTGTTTGGATTATATCTAAATCAGTGACAGACTGTTTTCCCCATCGAGCCTGCAGCGGGTGAAAAGGAAAAAAAAAACCCGAGGGTGATTGAGCTTCATTCAACGAACTGAAAGGAAAAAAATCACTGAAAGGACTCGAAACTTCATCGATCAGACCATATCAGATGATCAAGCTGAATAAGTGGAGTGAACCATACTGTGACCGGATATTTTGCAGAAGATAAGAACTGTAGGAACAGAAACAGCATAACAAAGTGGTGTCAGGTTGCTTTTTGAGTTCTGCAGTTGTTAAGGTGAGAGAAATTTATGCTGGAAGAGACAGGGCTTTTCGATCGTAATGAGAAGAGACATGCAGCCCTGACTCGGCCCAATTTGATATCCATTCCTTTCATTTCGTATGTTACGATATAAATTTCTTAAAGTTTACGCATGCGGACTCTTTCGGATTTGTCACTTAACCAGCATTCTCCAGATTTAACCAGTTTTCAACGTGAAATCATTCCTAAATTTCCTGTTAACTGACACAAATTCTGCAAAATTGTAATTACCGAAATCGCTTTGTCATGACATAATTTCTTGACCCTAGTACTTTCTCCACGTCATTTGACAGTTTACATAAGCAATTAAAGAGAAATAATTTATTTTAGCCCCACACTGCTCTAAAAAAAGCCATAGTCCCACAAGTTATGCATCGTTTTCGCTAGTGTTTTCTTTTTTTAACAACTGTGACCATAAGGAAGTAGGAGGCAGTACGGAAATCTTGTCGTCTTCAAATTTCTTGGAGTGGATTATACAACCGAAGTGATCATCATGTTTTCTTCTATTGTATTCGATTCAGTTCATCTGTTTTGAAAGCCAATAGACTAAATATGCGTATCCATTTTAAATGGCATTTATTTTGCACTTATCTGAATATTTTGCAAATTTTCAAGTTGCTTTAATTCTCAATTGTTAATGTTTCTTTAGAATGTAGTCCGGCTGGTATGTGGTTCACGACTTCTTACATTTTTTAATTTTCATTATGCCTATTAATGTTGTGCAGTAAGATTTCATCCGTATGATATTTATTCTTCTTCCTTTCAGAATGTTTTGATAGATACTTGACAAAAAAAATTAACACTTTCGAAAGTGATGATAATTAAAAAAAATAATTATTTTATCATATCATACGATAACTTATACATGTATATCATATTATAAACTGCAGCAGGCCATCATGGAAACCAGCTTTAAGGTGAACTGCACTAGCCTGTTTAATCCTTAACACCCTTACATCAGTATGAATATTCTCCATACTGTTCTCTATACATTTTCTAAGGTGCTGACAAGGGGAATTTGTCCATCAATCAAGAGCTTCTTTAATTTGTGATCATTTCCTTTATTTTTGTGCATGACCTTAATGTGTGATTCAGGGGTGATATTGTAAGAAGAAGTCAGATGCTAGTTACTCTGACTTTTACCATGACATGTATGTTTTTATTGTTAGATTGTTACAAAAATAGTTATGATTATTATACATTGAACTTCCTATCTCTTTTCTGATTCAATCAATCAATAAATCAATTGTTTATTTACCCACATAGTGTCTAGTGAGCTGGAAAGCTCATTCAAAATAGGTATGTGCTAATATAGAATAGCCTTAAAACAAACAGAATTAAAAACATATTATATATGTATAACAACATAAAAATTTTTCATAAAAAGCAGAACATGTACAACTATAAATGTCACTATATTAGGATTAAGATGACTAACAATTCTGTAAATAAGAATGGAATGGATAAAAGCTGATTTTAGTTTAAAAAAAAAGATGGAATTAAAATGATTTATTCTAAGTCAATGTCACAAACTTTTTTTTTGTTCAAAGTGTAATAAAACAATCATTAGAGTCAGTTTTTGTGATATCCAGTATTTTCTCGGTAAGGGTTATGAGCTGAAGCCGAAGGCTGAGACTGATTACCCCTACCTCCACCTTGATTGTTCTTGATATCACAAAAATGTCATCCAATAATTGTTTATAATTGCACTGTTACTAAAATGCATTCAAATCATTTGTTTTTTTTTTCTTTTGTGTTCTTTCAGAACCTTTCAGCAACTGGAATATGCCTGTACCTGCATGGCTGAAGCTATGTCGACCCACAATAGAGCCAGTGATCTTTCTCTATGCATATGGTCTTTTTATGCATATGCCAGTCATTCAGCAATATGTGTACAAACGTGTTAGTGTTGCCAAGAATTTCCCTTATTCATCGTCAACAAAGGAGAGATGCCAAAACCAAACACAAAATACAACTCTCAAAGAACTGGAAAAGGAGGTAATGTGATACAAAATAATTAAGACAAATTTTTATTTTAAAAATACTTCATTTGACTCTGCTCAAGTGATATGTGTTCATTTAATTTAGGAACTTGTTGCATTATCAGTTAGATGGTGCGGAAATTTTTTTTGTGCAAGAAAGTAAACATTGCAATTTTTAGATTGTCATAATTATGATAATATTTTCACTCGTTAGCTCTCAAGATCTGATTGTTAATTGATGCCCCTCCAACTGCTACACATTTCCTTGTCAATTAGTTAATATGAGAATTTGATGTCAGATCAAGATAACTTTTCACTGATAAGTTTGAATGTTCTCATTGCCTGTTTGCTGAGCAATATTTGGATATTATGGGGAGAAATTGCACATTAATCACTTCTTGGAGGTAAAGCAATAAAAATTTTGTCTTTAGGTTCAGGCTTTGTCCTCCTACATCCATTTGGGAATAGTCATGTTTGCATCAATCCCCTCTATTTTTACTGCCCTCTTCATTGGAGCCTGGACCGACACAGTGGGGCGTCGACCTGCATTAGCCCTCCCTGCTATCGGAAGCACCCTTGAAGCTTTAGTTGTAATCCTTACCATGTACTTTGAATGGCCAATTTATGTTTTGTTTGTGGGAAGTGCCATCAGTGGCATGTGTGGTTTCTTCACAACAATGGTGCTTGCAGTTATGTCCTACATAGCTGACACTACTGATGAATCAGACAGGAGCTTCCGGTTAGGTAAGTGTCTTAAAAGACCTTGGAATTATCTCTTTTGCCTTGGATCCCATTTGGGGGAAGGGATACTTGGTAAATTTTTGCTTAGTATTTGCCACAGGCCTCTCATAATCTCTTTCCCATAATAGTTTTTTTTTGTGGCCAATTACGAACCCCATCTTACTTCATCACTTTTGGGCATCTAAATTGTGTGCAAAAATTCTAATGCTGGTGAATGAAGAAAGTTGAACAAAATGTTCCCATTTTTTAAATCCTCCTCGTGAATTTCGCTAAATTTAAAACCTCACATGTCTGAGCCCGCGTTGTTGACCGCATACCTATGACGTAGCATTTCGTTAGTCATCTCTGCCACCCCAAGGGGGTTAACCTTTTTCTTATTTTTTTCTCTCTCACAGCCATTATGGAGTTACTTGTGTTCATTGGTGGAATGATCAGTCAACTCACTAGTGGCCTTTGGATAGAAAAGTTCGGTTTTGTAGCTCCGTACTGGTTTATATTTGGCTGTCTTCTCGCTTCAGTCTTTTATGTGATTTTCTTCGTTCCAGAATCAAGGCCCTCTACCTCCAGGGATGGCATGATCCGGAGACTGTTCAGTTTGACAAGCGTGAAACGGGTGTGGTACGTGTACAAGTTTCCGAGAAACGGGACGAGAAGAAATCTGATAATTTTCACATTGTCCACTGGGGTGGTAGTTCTAACCATTCTTGGTATAAGCGGAGTGACTGTGCTGTTTTTGCTCCACAGTCCGCTTTGTTTTTCGGCAGAAAAGGTTGGATATTTCTCAGCTTTCCGTTACTTAATAAACGGAATTGGTGCAGTCCTTGGTATAAAGCTGTTAGGAAAGTGTTTTAGTGAGATCAACATTGCCAGAATTGGGATCATCTCCCTCGCATCAGGGTTGTTAGTGTTTGGGTTTTCAAGGAAGGAGTCGTTGGTGTTTTTGTGTAAGTACCTCTCATCCTATAAAACATTTAAAAATAATTATTTAATTATTACTTGCAAAAGCATCACACTCGACATTCCTATCCTAGCGGTATACAGGAGGCTTGTCACCATGGATTTAGTGAACCCTTTAACTCCCATGAGTGACCAAGACAGAATTTCTCCCTACAATATCATTACAATATTAAGCAGACAAGTAATGAGAATAAAGAAAAATATCAATTATGGGATTGCTAATTGATCTGATACCAAATTCCCCAGCCAACATAATGAGAATCGTTTGGCAGACAGTAAGGAGATTTACTAATGAGATCTTGGGGGTTAAAGGGTTAAACGGCCGAGCCTACCTCGAGTCTTCTATAACTTAGTAGGAGAGCGTCCGAAGTACTGATCTGAAGGTCGTAGGTTAGATTCCTATTTGGAGTACTCGGATTTCTTTTTCTCCAAGTATGTCTGTGCGATTCACTAAATAGCATCATCTTTCAAAGGATAAACTGTCATCTCTTTCGCATACGATTGTGCATACTTAATAAGAGGGCACTTTTTTTCTTGTAGTTCCCCGTCTTCATTTCATGCGCGTTGTAGGCCTAAAAGAAGAGGTTACTGTTATGAAGTGTCTCATGATTTCCTCTCTGGCGCGCGAAAACTGGCGGAACCAGGGCGAGAAATAAGTTAGGGCGTTTCCCCGACAACAAAATTTGCCGTTTGTTAATCACCCACTCTTTCAGCCACTTCCAATGGCTGAGGGCCTGGAACAGGCTACATTTATATAAATCTTAATGTTTCTGTTTTAAATTCCCACCTGTGAGCCTTTTTTGTTGATTTTCAATATTTGTATCATTAGCTCCGATTGCTGGTATATTTTCCGGAGCTGTTTCCCCCATTTTCCGTGGAATGATGTCAAGAAGTGTGGGCGAGAATGAGCAAGGTTAGAAATCGAATGCGCACCGTAAACCATTCTTATTTTTCATATTACTAGAGCACTACTCGATTGAGTATCGTAGAACCAAAACCAAAAGTTATCACAACGGCGTATGAGGAGAAAGGAAAGTACCCTTAAAAACCAAAGTAAAAAAAAATAAAAAAATTACCAAACTGCCTAAAGCGCGGGAAAACGCGGGCGACCAAGAATGGCGCGAGATTTTTTTGACCAATCACAGAGCGAAGTAAAGCAAAACCGATGCAACCTCGGGTTTCTTTCGACAGTCAATTGAAAATTGCTCTTTAATGGTACCAAGTTATTGGCTTATATTGTGGTACGTCGGCATACAAGTGAAACTATTAATTAACTAGAGGCTGCCAAAAGTAGTGAAACAACCAAAACTTTTCTTCTTTTTAGGAGCTCTATTTTCAGCTACAGCGTCATTGGAAACCTTGTGTAATTTTATTGGTGCTTTCATCTTCAACTCCATGTACCCGGCATCGTTAAAACATGACTTTCCAGGATTTGTGTTCTTTCTGGGAGCTTTGCTGTTGATCATACCGTTATTGTTCACCTGGTAAGTTTAAACACAAATACACGAATGCTCTGTAGAAATCTGTTGCAAACTTGAAAGAAAGCATCGCCTGTGCTTTCGGCTTTCGTATGGATTTTTCACCATTCGCTTGTTGCTTAGGTTCCTTCCGACCCCTTCCTTTTGTTATGTAGTTCTTGGCATGTTATCCTAAAGGGTAATCGCTAGAAAATAGGATACAAAAGTAAGTAATTACAGCGGCCGGTAAGAAAATAAATGACTCGTACTAAGAGCCAATGAAACTCAAAGTAAAACAAGAAAACTGCCCAAAGCGCACGAAAACATGAGTGATCAGCGTGCCATTTGCTATCGTTTTGGATCCGATTGGTTGAGAGGATGACACAATCATGGAGTGAAGTAAGGCGAAACCAACGCAATCCTGGCCAACTTTTGACACTCAGCTGTAAAATTATTCTGCAATAAGGAACCAAGAAGAACTACAAGTGTAAAAAGAACAAATTTGCCTGGAGTGCGTGAAAAGTCGCGTGACCAAGTCGAAACTCCTCTTAGATCAGTGTTCAGTGTCAAAAGTAGTCTGGGATTTGATTGGTTTTGCTGTTCTTCGCTCAGTGATACGACCGACCAGATATGATCTTTTCGACGCGCACAAAGCGATGTGCTTGTAGCTTCTTGGAGTTCTTGTTTACCTCTTGGGATGGTAAACTTTATCTCAGGGTAAGTTTCTAAAGAAACTGTGAGCTGCGTCGATGGGAGCGTACAACAGGGTAATTTAGTATTACCAACTGAGGTGATAACGTAAATTAGTCGCCGTAAAGAGTTTTGAAGCTGACGTTTCGAGCGTTAGACCTTCGTCATTCGTTTTTGGTTTTACAACAATGCATCAAAATGCGCCTTATCCCAGTTTAGATCATCAAAGAATTCAGAAGACTAAATCGTTTTGGAACTTCATGTACACTTATAAAGCGCTTTTCGAGCTTGTGTCATGAAACCAAAAACCAAAGAAACAACACCCAATCAGAAGAAAGGTAGCTATCCGCACGAAAAGCCAACGAGAAGTAAAAAGCGAATTCAAGCTAACTGCTGCAAGCGCGGGAAAGCGCGAGTAAACAAGTCACGATTGTTTGAAGTTTAGCATTTGATTGGTTGAGAGGGCGTGCGAACTTTCTTGACCAATCACAGTGCAACTGCTGTTTGCTTTTGAAGCTTTGTTTATAATTTCACAAACGGTGACAACTGAACGAGTAGTTTGCCCAGCCGCTAAACAGTCAAACATACTCTCGTCCGTTTGTTGCTGCTTTAACTCTAATCGGCACACAACCTTCTTCTGCTTATTTTTGCAGCTGTTTGAAGAATCCTGCAAGCTTCTTGTCAAAGAGAGATTTAATTAAATCTAGCGAGCAGGATGACATGGAAAACAGTTTGATATCAGGCGCTAGAAGTATATCAAGTGAGTCTGAGGGGTCACCTCAGCCTAGCCCTACAGTGGGCAGAGGATATGAGGCGGTAGCATGAAAACAAAAGCTGATCTTTGATGGAAATTAGAGTTCTGATGGAAAAAAAAGGAAAAAAAGGTCGACATGTACATTTATGATTCATAAAATATTTTTGCTCGCGCGCGACTAATCTAAACGCATCACAATGACTAAACATTCTCCAACAAAAACTGGGGGATATTCGAGGATATCACCCAAGTGATATTCCCCATTTCTCAAACCATACATCCACTGAGATAAGTCTTAATTCAAGGTGAGAGAACGGTTTTTGGCTGTTACAGAAGAAGGGGAATATTTTGTTTATGAAGTCGCACCAGAGAACGCCCAAAAGCAAACATTTCAAGTAGCATAAAGTAAGCTGTTCTTATATATTTTTTGGCGCATGTTGCAAAATAATCGAAGGACAATTATCACAAGAGTCTCTATTTTGCGCGAAGATATGATTGTATATTTGTCCTTGGACACTATCTGTTCCTTGAAGCTCAAAGTTTATCTTGGGGCTTCGTTCTTGGAAAACTGTTTGCATCTTAATTGGAGCAGATTAAGTCCGCGGGCAAACATCCGCGCACATTTCCGCGACAAATAGGGGCTATTGTTTTTATTTTCATTTCGGATTCAAACTAAAACTTAGGTCAATATTTGATGAAGAGTATCATTAAGAAATGTGAAAAAAATGGTAGGTTTTTATCGGGATAAACTCACGCGAGAAAAGCTTGTAAATCACAAGTCGATGTAGTCTTCTAGGTGATCCGATAGTTGCGGAAGAGCGGAAAAAACGAGAGAGGCGTGGGTCGGGTCGCGTTTATTAGACAGACCAACCCAAACCTCCCTTTGCTTTTTCCCTTTGCTTTTTCACTTCCACAATCGCGCTGTTTACTATCGAGCTTCGTTTTACTAATTGGACGCCTGGAACAGGCCAGTAAATCATGAGTCGAAAGAAAGAAAAAATATTATTTCCTCTAAAAGGGGATATATATTCAAATAGCAATCCTCTTCGGAGTTGTTTTCGTCATCTTAGCGGAAGTTTATTTTTCGGTGAAAACTGTATTGATTAATGAGATCGTGCATACCATTGTAGTTCTGTGTACAGTTCTGCTTTCAAATCATTCACCAAGGGCTCGTGTGTGAATATCTGGTAGCATGGCTGTGCATTGTCATCAGGAGTAACTTACTAACAGAATATGTCCAAAATGTATTTCACCCTTTATTAAGGTAATATAATGAGTCTACATTTATTACACTTAAAATATAACTTTAATATATTGTAATGATTATTTATGAAGAAAAAATTGCACTGAAATAGATATAAATTTCGTCCAACATAGATATTACAGTAAGTTTAAACTCGCGTTGTAAATCTAATTTTGAATTAAGTTTTCTCGATATGTAAAGAATTTCATCCCTCTTACCATTGATTGAAAAATTATTTTTAAAAGTTGTTAACCTGCAACATGTAAAATAGAATTCGCATGGCTTTAACCCTTCAACTCTCATGAGTGACCAAGACAGAATTTCTCCTTACAATATCAATACAATATTAAGCAGATTAGTGATGAGAATCGAGGAAAATATCAATTTGGGGATAATTAGTTGATCCAATACTAAATTCTCTGAACGAACATTAACGATTAACATTACGAGTCAAACCTACATTAGATTGAAATGTAGCACAGCCTTGTTAGTGGCAAAACCAAAGACTAAAAAAATAACAATAAAACAGATCTTTAAAGCGTTTTGTCTTTAACTGGCTTAGTGATTGATAACTCTTATTAGAGCGCTTTTCGATTGAGTGACAAAAACAAAACCAAAGTAAGCACAACGGCCTTTTAGGAGAAAGGAAAGTACATTTAAGGGTCAGTGAGAACTCACAATAAGAGTATTGACGATTGCCAGTCCGAAATAAGGAAAATACCTCTAAGAGCCGATGAGGACTTTAAGTAAAAACAAACAAACTGTCTAAAGCGCGGGAAAACGCATGCTAAAAAGTCGTGATTGGTTTTCTGTGCATCTGATTGGTTGATAGAGAGGCGTGGGTTTACAGGACCAATCACAGAGCGAAGTAAAGAAAAACCAATGCAATTCCTGATTACTTTTGACACTCAAAAAAAATTGCTTTATCATGCAAAAAAATCGTGCAATTTACTCTAAAGAAATGCACGTGTACATGTTTTCTAAAGTTTATGAGCGCCATGCGGTATTGACGGGAGAAAGTGCGTGCGTGAAATTGTCAAGGCTCTTCTGGAGAAATAACTCCTTGAATCCACGGCAAAAAGTCCTTAATATCAGTATAGACACCAGGCCTCCTAGCTTGTGCGCAACCCACTCCCCAACTTGTGGCTCCAACGAGAACGTACCTGCCCCTCTCCAGACACACGAATGGCCCTCCGCTGTCCCCTTTGCAGCTGTCTATCTTCCCCTGCTCGTAGCCGGCGCAGATCATACGGTCTGTGACAGTATCCCCGGTACTCTCCAGGTACTGCTGCTTACAGCGCGCATGCTCAATAATAGGAACCCGGGCTACCCGGAGTTTATTCGACGTCCACCCAGATTGATGGGTCTTGCCCCATCCAGTCACTGAGCAGTTTGTCCCCGGGGGAAAGTTGCTGGAAGCAGTAGGTAAACAGATGGGGCTCATGGTCTCGTTATATCCCGGTAGAGGAGTGGATAAGCGGAGAAGGGCAATGTCATAGTCGAAGATGCTGTGGTCGTAACTGGGATGCATGCAAATTTGGGCTATATCTGGAGAGAAAGAGAACACTGAAACTTAAGTTACACAGATAATATTTGGGTAGCAGAGAGAATGCTTTTCGGAAGACGCAGTGGAATAGCGATTAGCGCGCGAGACTCTGGGTCTTTTTGTTGTGTTCTTGAGAAAAAACTTGACTCTCGCAGAGCTTCTCTCCACCCAATAGTAAAAATGGGTAGCAGTGAAATCTAACAAGAATCCGAGCAAGTAGGGTGAGTTCTCCGACAACTTGAGGGTATTCGTAAACCAGGAAGGTTTATCGACAGCTTACATGAGTTTACCGACAGCTAAGACCAATTGATTGACAATATCGGTGAGCTCTTCAACAACTTTGACCAGTTTGCACGACACTTGACAGACTTCGCCGACGACTGACTTTCTAAAATCAAATTCTGTTTAAAATCATTTTTCTCCCTTTTTTTCTGATTATTGACCCACCAAATATATCTCAGCGCAACTGGTGCATGTGCGTAGGAAAAGCTTAAGAGGGGTATGGGTATGAATGGTAACAATTTACAAACATTTTACATCTCTTTCATCCATTCCAACCTCCTTGTCCCCGCCCCTCACTTTTATTTTGGTCGCACTTTCAGGAAATTCTGTGTTAAAGCTACTTTTTTTTCATTATGAAATTTTATCAACGACTTACTTTTTTTAACCTCATGCCCTTCAATGTTGTCGACATCAAATTCTCCAATGATAATTCTCAATCCTGGATTCGGTGCTACACAGCCTTTTCTGCTCGGATTGTTACGGTAAATACAATGAGCAGCGGTAAGTACCCACTCCCGATTAAGAAGCGATCCGCCACAAAAAATAAAGTCATCGGTGAGAGTCTGGAGCCCAACTTGCCACGGCCAGTCTCGATTGGAGGCTACCTGACCTCCAACAATGCGACTCAGCTGTTTTGGGCTGCCACACGTTTCTGTAAAAAGACAAAGACAGCGTTTAGATGAGGAAATTTAGACAAGGACTAATCATCGATACCTCGCAGCGAACCCTCAAACCCCTATGAGTGACCAGCAATCCAATATCACTCTTGAATCCAATATCAAGGTTACAAGAATAAAGGAAGTGATCACCAACTCAAGAAGCTCTTGATTGTTAAATTCTCTTTGTCAGCAGCCTAAGAAATGTATACAGAACAGTATGGAGAATATGCATACTGATCTTAAGGTGTAAAGGGTAAATAAACTGTTAACTCAACACAATGTCTCCAGATGAATGCGACTTTCAAGTTTCGTTACGCACTGTTTGACTAACAGAAGTCAAAGGTGCGAAAGTCATTTGAAAGCGATGAAAAAGAAAGCAAGAAAAACAGTGTGGGAGAGGGCCTTATTTCCAATTTTCCCTTTCCTTTAAATGTCGGTCTGGCGTCACTTTCGCGCCACCGTTCACCAACTGAAGCTCTATCTAAACAGTAAACCAATCCCATGTTTGATAATCCACATTATTTCTCTTCTTGAAATTATGATACTCTGAAATTTTTAATTTACATATTGTTTATTCTTACCGGAAAGTCAAAGGTTTAAAAT